GCCGAGAGGAAGGAGGCCCAATCGAACGAGAAGAAGAGGGGAAGAGGTGAGCGGAGCTTCAATGTCGAGTGGAGGCGAGTGAAGGGGGATTCGGTGTCGGCTTCTGCCGGGAGAAAGGAAGAAGTGACGTCGAGCGAGGGCGAGCAGTGCTGAGGGAGGCGAGGGAGAGAGAGAGAGAGCTCATAATCTGGTTGTGAGGAAGGGGAGGCCGAATGATCCGTTCCTGGTGGAGGAGAGAAGAGCAATTTTTGTATATCGCAATTTCGAAATGACTGTTACACGACGATGGGCGGGTAATTGATTACTGGCCTAATTGGAATATCATAATATCTAATTAAATTTTATTAAGGAGAACTTAGGCGGGATAATTTAAAATTTTAAATTTCAAATTACAAATTGGGTTGTCAGCCCGACCCGACATAATTGAGCTATGCTTAGCCCGAATTGAGCCTGAGTTGAGCCTAAACTCGTCTCTTTTAATTAAATTTAATATGCATCGATTTGTGTCGTTTGCGCGCGCGCGAAATCATAACAATATGGATGTTCTTTCTAGCTAAAGTCGACGTTTCGCTACGCAGTCCGTTTCGTCGTTCAGGGTCGTCCAAACAAGTTTGCCGACGGTCAGGTCAATTCGAGTCAACATCGTGCGTGGTGCAGTGAGTATGTAAATTGCGGCGTTTGCGAGTCACAAATGTTTCACCTAAGGTCTTCTGATTCTATGAGAACTCATTTTCGGGCCCTCTACATATTAGTCCTTAGCCCTTGCAACTAAAAGTTAAGTGCTTGGGACCACTCATGCCAGGTCTTCGCAAAAATGAGTCAAGAAGTGGTTCGAAGTCTATGAGAGGTGGGCTCCATTACTAGTCCGCTGGGATGGTCAATAAGGAACTCCTAAAGCTAAATCATGGTTCTAGGAATAGTAAACTAAGACCTCACTAAAAATGAGGTCAACAACGGGTAGCAAGTCGAGAAAGCTTGTGAGCGGCCAATCATGTGATTCGTGACACCTGAATGAAGAATCCATGGACTAGATGTGGAATAAATTGTGAGAACCAAAAAAACAGTTCCTTGCCAGAATTGCGAGGTCAATGGACCCACGAAGATTTGGTTGGTTCTAAGAAGCTTGATCAACTGCTTCATCTGATTATTTTAGGGATTCAGAGGATTCCAGGATGTTTCGGGTAGGATTCAATTGAGTTGTACTTGGTTCGGCGGTCTTCGTGAGTCCCTTCGCATTAGAGGATTAGGCTAGGGGTTTGTATGCCGGCTTACCGTGAAATTTCTAACACTTGTCCTAAGTATGGTTGAGCTTGTGAGAGTAATCACAAGTGGGGTGACCGGTTTGTGGTGCCACAGACAAGAGCTTTGCACTATTTAAGATCAAGGCAGACGATTTAGCTGAAGGAGTAGAAGCACTGAGCATGGCAAGTCTCCTGCTTTCTTCTCGACGAATATAAGTAAAAATAGCGCGAGCGGAAGAAAGAGAATCCCAACCAAGAATACGGCCCCGAACTTCGCGAAGTCCTTTACTTCGCAAAGTCCTTTGTTAAGGCCAACAAGTAATTGGAACTTACGATCTTTTTCTATGATCTTCTAGAGGAGGGATAAGTCGTTCAGAGAATCCCATGTATAGTTGTAATACAAATCGCATTTCATCCATAATGCAACATGGTCATCATAGTACTGGGTCACGGTCCTCGACCCTTGATTGACCTCTCGGATCTTTTGAGATATCTCATATGATTGGCCAGAATTTCTTACATCCGAGTAGGTAATCATAAACAACCGTCCAGAGAGCACTAGCTGAAGGAAGGGACACGTGCAAATGACCAATTGAAGTTTCCATGGAGTTGATCAACCATGAGATGACCATGAAGTTCTCCACTTCCCAAGCTTCATATGTTGGGTTGAACTTTGGAGGCTCACGAATCTTTGTTGTGAGGTGACCGAACTTCCCACATTCTTTAATGAACAAAGAGACCACTTAGGACCATTGGAAGAAGTTGTTTCCCTTCAACTTACGAGTTGTGATCAAGAAATTCATGTTGGCTTCCGGTCCTCCGGACTGCACGAAAGAGAGCTCTGGAGTAGATCCTCCGGTGGAGTCAAGAACGCCTTCCGAGGGTTATTTATTGAAAGTATTAACCATAATTCCAACTGAGCCAAATAATATGTTGTTGTGGTTCTAAGTCATCGAAGAATTTTGGTAAAATCACGAAAAACAGATACAAAACAGACAACAATAACTGTGGGAATTGTAAGTTATACGAATTGCAGGGATCCTTAAACGAACAACATAACATGGGGCTCCAACAGGCAGTAGGGATTCCTCTAGCGGAAACTACAGGACTTGCTCTGGCAGACTGCAAAAACCTGCAGGAAGAGCGAAAACTGCAGGCAGGAAGAAGCCTGTTGTTCGCAGAAACTTGCTAATGTTCTCTGAACGCAAGTTTTCTGGAATTCCAGCTGTTCCAAGTGAAATAAAAGTAACCAAGAAGAATGGGGTATTTAAACCCAGTTAAAATAGATAGTAAAAATGAAAAGCAATAAAAACATAATAAAATAACTAGGAAAAAAAATAAAACAAAATAAGGCAAAAAAGAGACCTACATAATCACATAATAACTCAATATATAATTTTTTTAAGTAATTAATTTTAATTCATTTTCAATTCATCTATTTTGCTAATTGGCTATAACCTTAATAATGGTTATAGTAAAACAAACTAAAAGGAAAAAAAAAACATGCATGAAAAATCAATTTGTGGTAAAAAAAAATCATTTTAAATTACTGCTATGTTAAATTGAGCTTAATTTAAGAATTTCCTAAAATTTAAATAAATTTTTATTGCTAAACTATTTATACATAAAAGTGAGTTCTCGATTACTATAGGGAAGAATTCATCACAAAACTAACTTAACGGTCAAAGTGAGATACTCAATTACTAAAAAAAATAAATTATTTATGAATTAATGCTTGGCACTGCTTATTAGTCAATCTATTTGTTGTATTTGCATTAAAAATTCTTTAATATTAAGCAAAATCCTTTTAATCATAATATTTATTTTACATAAATGACCACCTATTAATTCCAATTCATAGTATTTCATAAAAAATGTATAATCAAATATAAATATGGAATATCATGTCACATTACATTCTTAATACATATTATCAAATTTAATTGTTAAAGGGTACATACATGTTAAAGAACACCATGTATGAATAATCATATTCGATAAAGATGATCCAAGAAATATCATGTTATGTTGTGAGCAAATATAATAATGTGAAATGCATAAGAAAAGGCAAAAGTTCTAACGAGACGAGTCTCGATCAAAAACTAAATTAAATCACGACACTTATTATTAATATTGGGACGATTCGACTAGTATAAGAGAGCAACTGAAAAGTGCAACACTTAACTGACAAATCTTTATTCGTAGTTATTATAGTTGAAAGACAGAGTGAAAATTTAATGGAATTTAATATATCAAAGCATATGCAATTATCATATGATACTTTTAATATAAAATATTAAAAATAAGAAAAAAAAATGAAAGTAAATTAAGTAAATACATAAATGATTTAGCTAACAATGCAATATAAAAAATTCCTTAGAAACAATTTTATTTCTTTCTAACAAGTGTTGCATTTCCTCATATGATGATGTTCTAACTATTTTAATCATCACGCATGTTTATTCAATATTACAAATTTACTAAGTCAGTTGTGATTATAAATATAAATACTCGTGTTATTCACCGACCATTATAAATATTATTTCATTCTTGTAATTTAGAAACTTATTTTAGTATTATTGAACTCATTAAGTGTGGAGTTCATCAGATATAATTATATCTGTTTTCAGTTAGAACAAAGGTGCAAGTAGATTGTTAGTCAAATAATCTACTATTTTATTATACAAGTAGATTGTTAGTCAAATAATAACAGCAGATAAAATTGTTACCTATTTTATACAATTGAGTTTTTATAAAAAATTGTGGTATTTGATGTAAATAATGATTTATTGGAACGTATGATTTTATATTTGAATTTTTTTTAAGCTTTATATTTTATTTTAGAATTGACCAATATATGCTTTCATATTTATGTTTCATAAATATTAGAAAAATTTAAATATAAGAATTTGTTTGGTGATGAATCAGAAAGAATATTTCACCATCATTGATCCTGATGAATACAAGTCAAGACTCAAGACGAGTGCTTGTAAAAATTAGGTTGACTAAGTCATCCCTCTTTTGTTATACCACTGCGTGGCCTAAGGGAGCCAACTGGGGTCTAACATAAGGTCTGACAAAATATCAACAACTCCTTTATATCATCTTTTACATCTAACTACCACTAAATTAACACTAAAATGACTCTTTTACACTAAAGAAAATTAATGAAAAGGTGTATTTGATATTTTAACAAAATAAAACAAATTAGGCTTTAAGAACCACTTATGTGTTCAAATTTAATGTGACTTCAATATGATCAAATATTAAATATCCCTTTCTATCATATATTTTGAGGATAAAAAATAAATTTTAATATTAAACTTATAGAAGTTAGATGGTAAGGGACATATGAGACGTATTTGATATATGGTCAAACCTCAGCTAAAACATAAGGGAGGTAAGTAATACATACCTTGCATTAAGAACAAAAACTACAATTAAGTTTTTTAGCTCCTAAAGATTCTTTTTCAATGCTCAAGATTAAAGTATACAAAATATTAATGGCCCAATGATTTCCTGTAATCACAATGGCGATAAATCACGGTTTGTCAATAATAAATTTTTTGTATGTGTAATATTCTAGCAAATTAGATACCGCAACAATATTCAACAATGACCCTACTGTTAGGCTTTCCAACCAATAAGATGTCTCAGGCAAAAAAAAAATAACAAAATGAAAAATGATGAATGCAAGGATAGCAACATTTAAATTTTTCAAGTATTAGTAAATATTTTTCAAGGCATTGTAATACTTACTCTCCAATAGAAATATTAACTGGGCTGACCCACTCTTCTTCATAAACGGCAACCCTTGTTATTTGGATATTTGCACCGCCATCATTAAATTCTATGGTATGAACAATACGCAGTCTCTTGTGGCAACCTTTCACTAAACACTACACATTGAAATTGAACATATGATTTAATGATAATGAACCGATGCTGTAAAGTGAGAAATAATTTCCACTTGTTAAAGAGAGCACAACAGTCATCATAGCTAATTGAAACTCAAAATCACAGCATGTCAATAAAGATCAATTCAAAATCATTTGTTATTTAGAGATCAGTAACGAAAAGCTGAAAGACATTGATAAATCAAAGTTAATGGGTCATGTTCAGTGGTTTTAGCAAAATGCAATGAAACTAAACTTCCACAGGCTAACCAACATATTAGTTTAAGAACAAATTTCATGCAGTGAATATAAGGATAAATAACATGAATAATTTAAGCATGATAAATAAAATTAATATGGAACATCATTTGCCTTCAGACCATCTTATTGCCATAATCTTTTTCATTAAAGAGCTTAGGCCAGAGTTAAGCTGCAATTAACCAAGATTTCTACATGATACCTTATCTAAGACTTTGGATAATATAAACAAGTTAGGACTACCACTCTTGTAATTAAAATCACTAACGACAGGGCATTAAAATAAGTTAATGGAATATAAAAGGGAAACAATTTCAATAAACTTGCATACTATTTCAAGCAATGATAGACCAAATAATTGATATAATTTATTGAGTTGAAGTCCATACAAAAAAATCATTATCTTATCCTCTCAAACAATGACAAAAGAATCATCTCTAGTTGAATCTTATACTATCAAATAAATTATAAAGCATGAATTCTTTCGAAGAAGCATTCAATGCAAGAGATTTGTAACTACGACATGAGTTTAAATTTGGACCTATACCACTATTAGAACATGACTAAAAGTCGAAGCATAAGCTTAACAAGAGTTGAAATTTGATTCTAAGATTTAGTATAACATCAAGTCAGATCAAAATTAGGATAATAATCTATCATTAAACTTATAATCATATCTAAATAGAAACCTCTACGAGAAAATAAGTCTACAACTAGAAATAAAATTGAACCTATACCAAAACAAAAGTTGGAATTTGAGTCTGAAATTGAATGAGTATGAGCTTAATTCAAATGAAAATATCAAATAGACATTGAATTTAAAATTGAAAGTAAACATACAACATATATGAACCTAATCTATAAATAGGAAGTTGTGAATATGAACTGTTATGGAAAACTGGGTCTACTTATCAATATGAACCTAAATTTCAAATTGAGTGTGCATCTAGCCTTGAATACAAAGTGACCAAAACATATATTTAGTAGTCCAATGCAACAAGCGATAAAGTGAACCCTCTTAATGTTAAATCAAACTTGGGCCTATCCAATATAGTATATTCATCGAACAAATTAATTTAACTACTGATGAAAACTTTAATGAAGTTATTTATACTAAAGAAACTAAAATTAATTTTCTTTTTAGTTCTTGTTTTCTATATAAATAAGGTCACAATGGTTGTATTAGGTAGAAAGTGAAATGAATGAATAATCTCATGAATTTGTTAATAAAAAAAGCCATAAAAGAAACTTAAATTCTAAGGGTCCGTTTGGCGTGGCGGAACAATTGTTGGGCGGTTTCAAAATGCAAATTCATTTGTTTGGAGAAGGTGGTGTGGCAGCATCTTCAACGACGTTTGTTATGTTATTTTTCCCCTCCCTCCCCCGCGTTTCTGCCTTAGCTCCTTCGCATCTCTGCCCTTCGCGTCTCTGCCTCTCTTGCGTCTCTGCCCTAAGGACATCTCCTCTCTCCCGTCTATGCCGTAAGAAGTGCTCTACCCTCGCTCTCCCACGGTACCCTTTATCATTCATCTTTGCAATTTGAGGTTGATTTGGAATGTGTGGCTTTCTTTGTGCGATTTGTGGTTTTGCTCTACCATGAAATCAATAATACACTAGAACATGAGATTTTAGATTTTGGTATCCTTTGCCATTTGTTTTGTTGTTTGTGCTTTTTGCTTTACTCGGTTTGTGGATTTAGGGCCTTTTGGGATTTACTTTTTTTGGTTTGTGGTCCCTGGAATATACGAATTTGAGATTTGTTGGATCTGGAATGACTAGAATTGGATTTTGTCGCCTCTGAAATGAATAAACTTGGAATGCGCTTCTCTTTGTGGATTCAGAAGGCTGGGATGTCTTTTCTAGTTGATGGCCTCTATATATGCTTAACTTCTTATTTCGATTTGTCTGGGTGGGTTGCCCTCTTTCTCGGATGGAATGTTTTGATGTGAAACCAAAAAAAAATGGATGGTTTTCAGCTTTGGGAAATTGATGGAGTGGAGGCAGTGAATTAGGCTTGGGGTTATGAGGAATTGTTCAATGGTGTTTTGTGGATGTTTTTGAAAGAAATGGGGCAACATTTCATTGAGTGGAATAAAGGTGTGGATGTCATTAAGTGCTCTCAGGTCTAAGGCCTTTGAAGGCCATGGGAGGCCTTGGAATGCTATGGAGGTGATGAAAATGTGTTAGAATGCTTCAAACATTCTCAAGGAAGTTTTCGGTGGTAGTCGTGGTGTGTGTACATGAGAGTGGTACTGGTGGTGTGTTGATGTACTAATGGTTGGTGTGGTAGATGGGAGTAGTGGTGTGTTGGGTTGGAGGTGATGGCGTGATTGTGTTGATGATAAGGTGGTGTGTGTACATGGGAGTAGTGGTGGTGTGTTGTTGGTGTTGGGGTGGTAGGGTGGTGGTGTGTTGGTGTGAGGATGGTGGTGTGTTGGGTTGATGATACGATGGTGGTGTGTGTACATGGGAGTGGTGGTGGTGGTGTGTTGATATGGTGGTGGTTGTGTTGGGTTGGAGGTAGTGGTGTGTCGGGTTGATGATATGGTGGTGGTGGTGGTGATGTGTTGGTGTAACGTCCAAATTTAGAGAAATCAAAGCCCCGTTTGAGTCGGCGTTCGGCGGCCTTACAATGCAAAATTGAGCTGTTTAGGACGCGGTGAGTCGTACTTACCTAAAACATGGGTCGTGGGTTGGACTCTGCGACCCGCGTTTCTTACTGATTTTATTACAGCGTTGCTTTCCTTTTTTTGCGATTTGGAGCATTGCAATCATCGTGTGCCCTAACCTGCATTTGTCGTGTGCAATCTCTTGGCCTATGCAATCTCTCGCTTCCTCCTCTCCTTCTCGCTTCCTCCTCTCCTTCTCGCCCCCTGCGATCCTCCCGTCTCTGTTCCCCAGTGGTAAGCAACAATTGATGTCATTTTTATGGAAGTTTACATACATACCACTTCACTTCTGATGCAGTTACATACCCTCCACCTAAACCACATTTTTTTATCGAAGTTTACATACATACCACTCAATCCTTGAGTAGGTTACTTTGATGTTATTTTTATGGAAGATTAAATACATATCACTCAATTCTGATGCAGTTACATATCTTCCACCCCTGCACTTTTTATGGAAGTTCACATACATACCACTCAATTCTTGAGTAGGTTAGTTTGATGTTGTTTTTATGGAAGATTACATACATACCACTCAATTCTTGATAGGTTATTTTTTATGCAGTTGCATATCTTCCACCTAAACCGCACTTTTTATAGAAGTTTACATACATGCCACTCGATTCTTGATAGGTTATTTTTTATGCCATTTTTATGGAAGATTACATATGCATTCCACTTAATTCTGATGCAGTTACATATCTTCCACCTAAATTGCACTTTTTTATGGAAGACTACATACACACCACTCGATTCTTGAGTATGTTACTTTGATGTCGTTTTTACGGAAGATTACATACACACCACTCAATTCTGATGCAGTTACATATCTTCCACCTAAAATGCACTTGTTATGGATGATTACATGCATGCCATACGATTCTTGAGTAGTAGTTAGTTCTACAGGTGCCCGCGGTGGGCAGGTAGTCCGGAGAAAGTTCTACATGTGCCCACGGTGGGCAGACAGTCAGAAGAAGTGTGAGTTCTTCCGGTTGGCAGACAGTCTGACAGATTCTACTGCCGACAGTGAACAAGAATGGATAACATCTCTGGAAGACGACATAGCTCGTGACATACAACGTCAGCATTTAAAAATCAATATTAACATATAACTAATTGTAATTTTAATAGTTTTTTTTATTTTTTTTAGCAATCTTAATACTCACTGTTAAGTGAGGTGTATATAGATTTTTGTACTGTTCTAAAGCAAATTTTTGCTTCTGAAGTATCAAATATATGACTATGATAGTTCTGTTATAAACAACATTACTACACGAAAAAAATAATCATTTGTCCAAAAACAGCTGTCGCACAGTTGTTTTCCAACCGCAGAAAACAAACAACCAGCCATTTTATCCGCAACAGCTTCCTCTTCTCCACAACAGCTTCTTGACACAGCTAAACAACTTAATGATAAGCTGCAACAGCTTATTGATAAGCTGCAGTAGCTAATTGATAAGCTACAACTACCCCAAACTAAACTATTCAAAATGTTGAGGCCCGACCTAAACTTTTCTACAAGCTTTCATCCTCAAAGTAATGGACAAATCGAGGGGATCAATGCCCTCTTAGAGCTATCCTCTTAGAGTGCCCTCTTAGAGCTATATTTGCGTCACTATGTGAGTGCAAATCAACAAAATTGGGCCAAATTGCTGGATGTGACACAATTCTCCTTCAATTTACAAACAAGTGAAGCCACCAACAAGCGCCATTTTGAGATAATCATGGGACAAGAACCCATAACTCCCCTTTCCCTCACAACCAACTATGAAGGAAAAAGTCCAGCAGCTTTCAAGTTTGCTAAGTCTTGGAGTGAGCAAAGGGAGCTACCTAGAGCAACATTTCACTAAGCCGCAAGGATGATAAAGAAGCAAGCACATAAAAAGCGGAAGTATATCAAGTTTAAAGAAGGAGATCTAGTCCTTGTAAAAACTTCTACCCAACAATTCAAAACATTTCAAAAGGTACATAAAGGGTTGATTCGAAGATATGAAAAGCCTTTCGAAGTAATGAAGCAAGTGGGAAAAAACTCCAACAAACTCAATCTTCCACCAAAACTAATGATGCATCCAGTCT